TACTCTCACAGAGTGCACATGGCCCCCTACTCTCACAGAGTGTACATGACCCCCTACTCTCACAGAGTGCACATGACCCCCTACTCTCACAGAGTGCACATGACCCCACACAGAGTGCTCACAGTCCCCTCACAGAGTGCACAGGGTCCCTACACAGAATGCACACGGTCCGCACACAGTTCCTACAATGGTCCCCACAGAGTGCACACAGCCCCACTACAGGGCCCCACCTGCATGGATGGTGTCCCTGGGCTGTGTGGGGCTGCCCAAGCTGGGCTGCCCCATGAGGATCATTAAAGGAGAGGTTTCATATAAATCAGATGAAGAGGGCCCAAGGGAGACCCTGGGGAGGGAAGGACAGAGAGACGCCACCTGCTGGCAGCTGGGACTGAACCACTTGTGGGTTTATGGCTTGGTCTGACACTTGCTCTCCAGGGGATAAGGAAACCTCCCAAGCTTGGCCCAAACCCCACCTGAAGACGGTGGCCTCACACAGGGCAACAGGTGGACACTAGAGGTGACCCATAGGCACATAGGACGCCCAGCTCCCTGCAGAGGTGGGAGGGGTTCTTGGGATTGGCGTCCTGTGGTGAGATCCTAAGGCCTGGCCCATCCACCATACAGGCATGACCTGGCAGGAACCCCAAGCTGCCAGGTTCTCCTGGGTCACCTGGGGTGTCCACGGTGGCAGCAGAGTCTGCACCACCTCACCCCATGGGCCCCAAGACCTGTTGAGACGCCTACTACCGTGTTCCTGTCCTATCTTGCTTCAAGATCTGTGCTGACCACATCTCCTCCACCAATGGTTTATCCATTTTGTTTTCCTCATGAGCCCAATCCAGATTTGTTCTGTCTTCATTTTGTTTGCTTCTGAACTCAAATGTTCTGCTTCACAACCCCTCCTGCATCTCCTGGGTACTCTGATTGCTCCTCCGTCCCCAGTGAGGGATGCTCAGGCCCCTCCAGTCTCAGCTTCACGGTCTGAACGTGGGCCTCCACCCGGTTCCAGCCACTCCTCCCCTGCCAACGGCCACCCAGTGTCCAGCATCCCATAGCCACCTCAGAAGGAGAAGGAGAGCCCTGTGCACAAGACTCCATCTGCCTGCCCACAGCTGCATCCTCCATTCAGAACAGGCCAGCACGTAGCTATGAACATGTGTGGCCCTGTCCCAGCCCCCTGGGAAAAGACAGGGTATGTATAGCCTACTGCCTAGAGTCCACAGAGACATGCCTGGGAGCAGGCAGGGGTGGCACACGGCCTCTGTACCCCCAACAACACCCCTCCCTGCCAACATGCCAAAATTGTGCTTCCTGTGGAGATGCCTCTGCTGCCCTTCTTACCAAGCTTGCCATTCTGAGCAGAGGTCACAGGATCCCTCCCTCTCAGCTCCTCCAGCTTCCTAAAACAGGACACTGCCCTGGGCCACCAGCCTCTCTCACTGGCCACATCCACACAGGCAGCTCCCAGCACACTCTGAGCCTCACCTGGGTCAGAGAAGCTGCCCGAGAAGCTGCCCACTTGGCAGTTGGGAGGAGGGAGCAGGAAGGAGAGCGTTTTCCCTAAGCTCTGGGTGAGCTGAGCCGCTCCTACTGGGCTGTCCTCAATGCTGTCCCTGCTTGGGCTCGTAGGCCATGAGGCCACTCTTCCTTACACTAGCCACTCAGGGCCCAGGAGAGCAAGTTCTACCTGGACTTGACAGCTCAGAAGGGCCAGCGTGGCTCAGCGCCTGTGGCTCAAGTGGCTAAGGCGCCAGCCACATACACCTAAGGTGGCGGGTTCGAATCCAGCCTGGGCCTGCCAA